GAAGCTTGTCTATTATTTATGAATGAAAGTACACGAATAATGTTAATTATTTCATGAAAGATCAAGTATTAAAAAAAAAGAAGAAAAAAAAACATACATGATGGAATTGAGAATCAGGAGAAGGAAGTACTCCAATTTCCCATCGTTCACCACATTTATAAGTCTTCGCGATCAATCACATACGATTGTATGTATTCTTTAAAATTATTGATGTCTATCCGTTCATCATTAAAGAACACTTCAACATTATCAACACTTCCCGCCAAATCGTATACACGCTTTTTTATGAGGGCAATTATGTCATCATCAAACTGACTCATTTTGAATTTTCGAAAATCTGGCTTAAATTTAACCAGAGTGTAATCGCCCTTTAAAATCAAAATCCACCTCTTCTTTATACAACGGGTGATCGGTGATAATTGGTTGTACGATTTCTTTCATGTTGTTCCTAAAAGTTTGGCGATATATTTTGCCAATTGAAGATGTTTCCAAAATGAACACCGTACTGAATATGTTTGTTAATTTAGCACCGAAACCATTACAACCCCGGAAACTTTCTTTAAGTCATCATTAAAAGTGAAGATGAAAATGTTGCGAAAAGATAAGTTGAGGTATGTAGACATTTTCATCGTAGATTCCTTTTCCGTTATTAAAGACGGCAAATTGGCCTCCTTCTTTGTCAATATCAAATTTAATAACATTAATTTCTTGGTCTCGAACCTGAAGATTAACGAAAAAATTTAAATAATCAACACAAAACTTAACGACAAAAGTAACTAACAGAACGTTTCCAATATGCATACCTTATTGTTAGCAGCATTTACAAAGATTTCATCCACTATTTGATATAATGCAGGTACGTAGGTAATTTCTCTATGAGAAGAAAGGTACATGAGATATGAGATTACGCACTTGTAATACGTATTTGAAACCATTTATAAACTTCAAAAAAAAATTTACCTGGAAACAAGCCTTTCCGAATCAATCACCCACATTTTTTTTTTTAAAGAGTCAAGAGAACCAACATAAAAGTCGGGTCTCAACATGACGTGTTCTATTGGTAGTACTCTTATATATATTTCCTTTGATTTTTCTTTTTCAACAGCTGGTTTTGGTGTTGTGTTAGGTGTTTGTGAGTTGGTAACCTTTTTTGAAGTTGTAGTAGGGGTTTTCGAATCGGTCATTTTGTGAAGAAATAAATTTATTTATTTTTTTTTTTTGAGAAGTTTTATTTCGAAGAATAGTGTGAAAAATATAAATTTTGTGATATTATTTGTATAAATTTTTTTAATTCGGGCAATTCGACGCAATTTTTTTTTGATCAAATTTTTTGATGGGAAGATTTTCAACAATGATGAGAAAAAATTTCTTATCATTTCAATGTAGGAGATCATAGATAGAATTGTGTTAATTCAATCCAGAATAATCCACTACCCTGATCGTAAAATCAAATAAATTTACCTTTTCACATGCACAAACTACCAAAACAACTTATCAACACGGAAAAGTGTTCATTTTGAACATCTGTAACACAAATATTTATATATTTTTTACAATAGCAAATATATGATTGTCATAATAAGCCACATAAACAAGCATAATCTATCAATCGCGAAATTTTACTACGACATATTTCCATATGATTATATTCCTTACCAGAAAGTCAAATATTTAGACATTCATGGATAAAAATAAAGAACTATGAAAATTATGCTATCTAGCCTAGTTGTTAAAAGAACATTAATACAATATAATAAAGATAAAGAAAATATAAATTTATATTTTTTATTTACCATTCGAGTTACAGTATTTCTACTTTTAAAACTATACCGCCTAGTCCAAAGGTTACAGCATCTATTGCAGCACAATCTCAAACCGAATCTAGAACATTATAATTGTCTAAAATTTCTAATGCAGGATATCTCAATTACATGTATGAATTCCCGTGGTTTAATCAGAATAAAATAATTTCATGTAGTTATGTAAAGATTTTGATTATCTGGTGGATAAGCGGAATCTGCATAAAAATGATTTGTCCTCTTTGGGATATTTGTAATAACGCATATCGCTTTGATGGTTTCAACAATCCTATTCCGTGATTCTATCCATGCTAAGCATTGATGAGCCCTCCAAGACATCATTAATTGGAAATCAACTTCCAAACCTTAGCTTTTCTTTCATCACGATCATATTGTAATAAAACGCACGAAACTTGATTAATTTAATATAATGTAGTATCTTCTTCTAAAACTCCTGCAATTGACTCTCTTAAATAAAAATTGATTCTTTTCATATCATCTGTCTTTTTAAGTTCCTAACTTAATATGTGCATCGCCAATACAGTTGAATTTTCCACCTTACTAGCAAATGTAAGATTCACGAAAGCTACATAGACATCCCATAATTCATTGCAGAACTATATCTTTTTTATATTTTTTTTGCTAACATAATGAAGCACGCTTAAATTTCCAATATCATAAGCTTATGAATCTGACATTGAGCTGATTTCTTTATCTTTATTAATGTTGTTCTTTTAACAACTAGGCTAGATAGCATAATTTTCACTAGTTCTTTATTTTTATCCATGAATGTCTAAAAATTTTACTTTCTGGTAAGGAATTTAATCATATGGAAATATGTCGTAGTAAAATTTCGCGATTGATAGATTATGTGGCTTATTATGACAAATCATATATTTGCTATTGTAAACACCATATAAATATTTGTGTTACTACCCAAATTCCGTGATTTCTTTTGTGTCATTTTTCATAAAGAAAATCTTTCGTTTTTTTTAGTTGTTCTGGTAGTTTGTGCATGTGAAAAGGTAAAATCAGTTTAATTTATTTGGAAATTATTGATTTTACGCCAAACAGTTCAAGATAACGATCAGGGTAGTGGATTATTCTTGGTTGATAAGAAATTTTTGATCAAAAAAAAAATTGCGCCGAATTAAAAAAATTTATATAAATAATATCACAAAATTTATACTTTTCACACTATTCTTCGAAATAAAACTTCTCAAAAAAAAAAAATAAATAAATTTATTTCTTCACAAAATGACCGATTCGAAAACCCCCTACTACAACTTCAAAAAAGGTTACCAACTCACCTCGTAAGCAACAAACACCTAACATAACATCAAAACCAGCTGTTGAAGAAGTTGTAGCCTCGTCAAGCGAAGCCAACACTGAAAAAGAAAAGTCAAAGGAAAAATATATGAGTAAAACCAATAGAACACGTCATATTGAGACCCGACTCTTATGTTGGTTCCCTTGACTCTTATAATGGGTTATTGATCCTGAAACGGAAAGGCTTGTTTCCAGGTAAATTTTTTTTTTGAAGTTTATAAATGGTTTCAAACACGTATTACAAGTGTGTAATCTCATATCTCATGTACCTTTCTTTTCAGAGAAATTACCTACGTACCTGCATTATATAAAATAGTGGATGAAATCTTTGTAAATGCTGCTGACAATAAGGTATGCATATT